GTCTCGATCAGAATCGTCAGATGCATCGTCGCAAACTGATGAAGATTTTCGCTTCTTTTGACGAGATAGCCCCGGTGGGGTTTCTGCGTCATTTTTTGACTCTTTAGTCACTGTGTGCGGTATTTTCCGCTTTAGTGGAGCATCGGTGATGCGTGTATTTGGCGTTCCCGCCAAAAGATCGAGTTTCTTTCCAAGGCCCTTGATGGCCTCCCACATCCTAGTGGAATCATTATTTGTGTCACCGGTGGTGACATAATCTTGTGTTTGTTCGCCCTCTTCGGCGAGCAACCTTTCCTCGTCTTCGTCCGAAAAATTGGATTTTCCTTGTGCTTCATTCACCTTGTCGTCCGCCATGATCGAAAGCTTACGGCACATGATATAGCTTGCTCGCGCAATCTTACGTGATTCCTATGTGACGTAGACTATGATGAGGTAGAATCAATCGACCCGGGTCAGCAATTTTCAACCCGGACTGGCTCGGGTAATATTCCGAGCAACAGACTGGAGCAGAGTGTATTTTTGGGGCTTATATTCCTTATATACGATTGTCGCTTGTGATTTTAATTGTGTTGTGTAATTTCCTGTACCTCTATTTAGTCAACGCCAACGGTTTTCTTATATCCTCACAGGGTCTGGACAGTGGCGTAACGGGAGGGTGTCAGGGTGTCCAGAGACGGGGGGCCCCCGAACTTTAGGGGCCCCCAACAAAAATGACCTTAAAAAATTTGATAGCACTTTTCTGGGGAATTGAATCTGGAAAAGGCAAAATCCGTCGAGAAATTTCCCGAAGCTGCGACGGATTAAGTACGTCGCGGCTGAGGTAAAGGACGAGATACTAGAATGAATTAATTGCAATTTCATTGGGTATGTCGGGAAAAAATTTTGGACCCCTAAAATTTTGGACCCATAAATTGTTCCGAGAAAAATTTTTTGAGCCTATTTTTAGTGTAGCAAAGGGGCCCAAAGTGGCCGATTGACGGAGGGCCCCCAGCGGTTGCGTTACGCCACTGGGTCTGGAAAGTAAACCATGCTGTGATACAAATATGTGAACTCACCCACATTGAGCGGGTTCGATACCCGCATTTTGGAATCATCAACCGCGTAAAAAATGACACTTAATTAATTCATTGAAATTCACCCGCATTCATTGAAATTCACTCGCATAATCAGATGATAATTCTCCGTGGGAGATTTCGTAGGAGAGGAGGCTATCCTTGCGCTTATTTTGTTCAGTTTTGACCGAACGGTTGCGATTTTACGAAACTTTGCGAAACTTTTATTTATTTCCTTTTATACGAAACTTTGCAAAACTGTTATTTAACCCTGTATTCTGTAACTTCACTCTAAATACATTTGAGAATTTCCCATTTACGTATTTTAAACAAGAACAGAAATGCCTAAAATAACAACTAGCTCTTGTCGCCACTAAAAGAGAACTCCGACAATGTTGTTCTCTTTTTGGCTACAAAAGCAAGTTGTTATTGGCATTGTGGTTGTTACCATGTTTCAGTGTATTGGCATCACCCGCAGTTTAGGTGGTCCATGTTGTTCACTGGGTATTTCGACTAATTTCGTATATCTGTCCATTCACTTGTTGTGGTTGAGGCCGATGTGCGGACATTTGTAGCTATTGATAGATAGAATAGGTAGATGTTGTACAATCTACAAAAATGTGGTTTACAGAATCAGGCAGAAAATTTGATTCTGCCACAAGGACAAGACTTAAATTTAAAAGAGAGACTACAGACTCGATTAATTTGGATGAAATTGTGGATCGTTGGGCAAAAACACGACGTTTGATAAGTGTTGCCTTGGATAATATTACTAATATAGGAAGCGTTTCTTCAATGAAATTTTAGAATTAAAAACCAGGAACGCCGATGAATCGATGATTCTACAAACTATATAGTTCACTAATTCTGCTAAAGCGGTTAAATGGTTTGAGGTTTGAACTTATAAGGTTTTTATCTTAGAAGGTATACAAAAATAAAAATGCCTACAAAAATTGATGGAATAGTCTATATTCCGAATCTTCTTGATGTGTCTTTTTTTGATTGCATGTACAAATTGGAGCAATCTCCAATGCGGTTATTAATCATTTTTAGATTGTAGTCTTTAAACAGTAAACTGGCAGTTTTTTGAGAATGAGATGGAGCGTGCGCAGGGCGGGTAGGAACTGAAGAGGATTTCTGCACCTGTATTAATACCAGCGATGAATGCGATCATCGTGTTGTCAGCTGACACAATTATGCAGTTTAAATAAAGATTTTATTATTATTATTATTATTATTATTATTAGGATACTGAGCCATGAAAGTCGGTCCCAAAAAATTTGCCCCCCCCCCCCACCCAGAAATTTTCGGAATGTGCGCCCCTGGTGGCAGCTAGCTCAGCTATGTATTTTCACCGCACACGTTGGGAAAACTACTCAACAACAACATAATTGACATAATCATTTGCATATTCCTCCATTTTGTTCCAAGTCACATGAAGAAACTATGGTTTCTCATTGGCTAATTGATTCAAACAGTTCAGCACTAAGCTAAATATCGAGAGTCGAGAGTAAAAGGTCGAGAGTAAGGTCGAGAGTCGAGAGTAAACGTCGAGAGTAATAGCATCGAGAGTCGACAACAAAAAGTACAGAGTCGATAGCAAAAAGTCGAGAGTAAAAAGTCGAGAGTCGACAAATTAATGTCATCGTTTTAATCTAACTGACACATAAACGACAAAAGAATCCTCTTTTAACTGGGCTCGTTAGGCCATTCCAAATTAGAATTTAGTTTCCCGTCCGGTCCTTATTTCAAATTACACGCGGGCGGGCGGGCGGTTCATTTCCATTATCCATTATGGTGTCTGAAAGAATCTGACCCATTATTCCATGAAACAGATACACGTTTTAAAAATCCAGTCAGCTACGTTTCTACGAACTGTTTTTGTTTTTTGTATGCAGAAATGAAAGCCAGGATAATAATTAACCTTATCCTTTTGTTACGTTCGAAAATCAAAACGTGTAAATCATGGCTCTCAACTGGATCCTTTCAAGTTCCACGCATTAGTAATTAGGAAGATTGTAATACCATACTTGCGCACCATACTCCACAACTGGCCTTATACAGGTTATGTAAACTGATAGGAGAGTCTTGGTATCAGCACATGCACGTTTTAGGAGCTTCAACATATATAGACGTTTCGATACTTTTTTAACAATTTGACCAACATGTTCATTCCATTTCAAATGGTCGTTGAGAATTACTCCAAGTAACTTTGCAGATTGCACGACTTCAATCGGATGATTATTGAGCTTTAGCGGAGGTATGTTTGGTTTATTTTTCCAAAACAAACAAAAAGTTCCTTACATTTCTTAATATTCAGCAACATATCGTTTTCCCCGCACCACTGGTTAATACCGTCCAAAATAGATTGTAACAAAGATGGAGTCTGATAGAGTAGAATCATCGACATATTTCCATCGATCACGATAATTCGTTAGCAGATCGTTTATCATTATGAGGAACAATAAAGGCCCCAAAAGTGTTCCCTGAGGGACACCTCCATTTACTGGTTCCAAACTAGACTGAAAGCATTTCCCTATTCTTACTCGCTGCTTTCGTCCAGTAAGGAAGTTTCTTACCCATGCTATAAGGATTGGGTCTATTTCCATTTCTTCCATTTTCGTAATCAAGATCTGGTGGTTTATCCTATCGAATGCTTTACTAAAGTCCAATAACAGAATTCTTACACATTTATCAGGTTTCTCAGAAAGGCTGTAGAGATAGTGGAAAAGGGACACAAGTGCATGAGTTGTGGATCGTCCACGTAAGGCTTCGAATTGTCTTCGATCAATGAGATCATGGTTAATCTGTGCCATAATCCAGTTAGCTACAAAATGTTCCATGGTCTTTGAAAGAATTTGGGTAAGGGAAATAGGTCGTAAGTCATTTTCGGCTTCTTTGATTACATTTTTCTTCGGGATTGGGATCACTTCAGCTTCTTTCTATAGATCAGGAACTAAAGTCTCCCGAATAGATGAATTAAAGATTTAAGCAACTGGTGAGGAAATCTCAAAAGCAAAATCTGTTAAGATCCAGCTTGGTATATTGACAGGACCTGATGTTTTCCCCTTTTTTAGACTTAAAAGTTCCTTGTAAACATCTTGAGCAGATATATGGTATTTCGTTAGGTTACAGTCTACAAAATTTGTTTCGTTATTTTCCAACTCAGATAAAGGGGTCATGGAATTTGTAGTGGAGAGAAAACTTTGGTTAATATGAGTTGCTAATTGGGTCCCTCGAATTTCTCCTGACACAATCATACTTGATACGATTCTATTTGTCGAGCGACCAGCAAGTTGATTAATAGACTCCAACCAGAGCGCTGAATTACCGCAGTTTTTAACTTTCCTTTCGGAGAAGGAGCTCCGTAATCGATTATTAAGTTTATTTACCTTATTCCTTAATCTCTTGAAGGTTGCTGTATCCTTAGATATTGCTTGTTGGCGTTGTTCTATAAGGATCTTTAATTCAGGAGTGATCCACGGTTTATCCGTTGGGTGTTGCTTGTAGCTTTTTAAGGGGAAAAACTTGTCGATAGCGAAACATAACAACTCATTAAAAGTATTTAGTTTTTCAGTACAGTTGGGCAGCATTTCCAGGAAGGACCAATCTGTACTTGAAACCCATCTTCCAAAACTGGTCTTCGAGCTTCTTCTTAACACCTTTTCAGCTCTAGCCTTTTTAGTAATTGTAGAGGGGCGTGTAATGAGGGAATTGTGGTCGCTTAACCCGATGCCGGGCAAAATTTCGGGCACACTGTAAAACCGCGAGAGATTTGTAAAGATAAGATCAAGAATTGCATTCCCGCAAGTTGGATTTTTTACGATTTGTTGTAGATTAGGATTATAAAGGAATGAATAATCCAGGCGGTTAAAATCACCGACCAACATAATTTTGTCGTTTGTCTGACTTCCGATCCATCCTTACCAACGAGTAGTTTTCTACTCCAACCACTGAGTTTGGAATAGATTCAGTTAGCCAAGTTTCCGTTACACATACAATGTCCGCGTTATTCTGATTTACCTGTACAACAATCTCCAAATCTTCTATTTTACTAACCAAAAATCTGGTATTTGATAGGAAAATTGACGGTAGGTCAACCTTAGAATTGGTATTGTTATTATAATTACTTTTACATCGAATACGAGTTAAGTTACTATAATTGACTCCTCTAGTGTCTCTACGCATTCTTTGCCTCCCATCCTCGAGGAGATTCTTGTTGGAATATTATTTATTTATTTAATATATTCGTCCAAATCTAATTTGGTGTCCGATGGTATTGACATTTGCGCTGGAACACTGATTGCTTTCTTGGTAATTTTGAAGACGGACCAAAATAAAGTTTCGGGTTTGCTACAATATCCTGTTCTAAATAACTAAATTCTCGAAGTATTTCGCTCGACCGTCGCTTATCATACGCTTGACTGTGGACAGAAGTTGTTTGAATTTAGCGATCAGATAAACTGAAGACGACGATCTCAACTTTCTACGTACCGATTCCTTCTTCTTTATCATATGTAGCTTATCTCCAGTTATCCAAGGTGGTGAATTCTTTCCCGTTTAATCTTTCTCATAGGAACAAAGTTGCGTATTGCAGCTAGATACTTTTCCTTCCATTGTGACCAGGCAACATTCACATCTGAGTTGCTTTCTATTATATTGGAAAAGTCAATAATTTGCAAAATCGAGCGCAGACCTTCAAAATTTGCTTTCTGGTAATCACAAACATACTTATTAAGTTTAACCGGGGCTTTCACTATGGTTCGGATATTAAAAACAACGCAGTTATGATCTGTGATAATACCACTTTCTTCTGGGGGAAGAATAGTTTCAACTTTTACCTGATCTGGTACGGTGGTAATAAAAAGATCCAGGATATTTTCACCTCTTGTTGGATGTTTGTTAATTAACTTGATAAAGAAAGTAATCATTCAAGAGTTCAGTAAAGTGTATTCATCAGAGCCTGCAGTTTCATCCGGAGAATCCCAAATTATTTTTGGTAGGTTAAAGTCACCATAAATCACAATGTTATCATAACGCGTGGATCTGTTGGCGAGGTAGGAATTAAGTAGATTTAACCAATTATTGTTCGAGTTTGGTGGTCTATAGCAACAACATATACACAACTTAGTCTTTGATATTGTTGTCAGTTCTACAGAAATCATGTCAAATTCACACCTTCGACTAATAAGACTCCGCCAGCACGGCTTTCTCTGTCCTTTCTATAAATCTCATAATCATCATGTAATATTTCGCCGTCAATCCTTTTGCAGTCAAGTTTTCGTTACCAATACAAAGTCAGCGTTTTCTGTGTAGACTAAATCTTGAAAACATGAGAGATTACATGTTTGGTGACCATTCATATTATGCAAAGTCTTTAGGCTTCGAGCGTTCATACCGATACAATTTAGCGAAGAATTTTGCGAACAAAGTGGACCAGGATTTATTTCCACATCATTAGCCAACAGGATCAACATTAATGGCAGAGAAGATCATTGCAACAATGTTAGTCCTCGTACTAGCGAGGTGTTTACTAACACGATATATCCAACGTCCAAGAACTTTTATTATGGTAATCCGCGAATGAAAACGGATATTCGAAGAGCACAAAGCCAACTCCTAGCTATGTAACTTTAATCTTTATCGCTTGAAATTTGAATCAATCCACAATTAAAATGCTGATAATGTAGATGCTTTACATATTTGAGATGCTAGTGAAGTTTTTCCTACACTTTAATTTCCTTGATCGCCGTCTTAAAATTGCAACTTATATGTTGAAATTTCACTCGTGTTGTTTTTTCAAATTTTCGAATTTTTGTAAAATATCGCGTGCTCCAGCAATTTCTCTCGTATTAAGAGGGATTTTCAGTGCTTACTTTGAACATTTCAGTACAACATGTTTACGTTTCAGAATAGGGCCTAGGCCGTATGTATTTCACATGTTGTGAAACAATGTTTTCTATCGGTGTTGTAAATTTTCAATAGTGTATTAAACAAAAGTATGAATTTTGCAACACATGGTGCCTCATAATAATCAACTACCCAGATCTGTGTAGCGCTCAGATCGTAACAAACGCCTTCAACTCGCGGCTAGCCCTGGAGAAACCAGGGAGTTAACGTTAACATAATTTATGTATTTATGAACGGAAACGAGGCTCTGTAACCAAGGTGACGTACTTTCCGGAAAGTTGTATTCTGACAATGACGGATAGAACGTCTTGACGAATATAATTCGTTTTATCTGACGCACTACCGTCGCATTTAATTGGTTCAATGAACCAGAGGACATATAACCGTTACAAAATGTTTCATTTAACTATTGCGTCATGATACGTTCCTGCATGATATAATTAGTCGGTGGGGCCACCTGTGGTGCCCACCGACTCTAGGTTTGCCCTTTGCTAGACCACAAAATGACAAATTACGTCATTTTTTGGCAAAAATTACGTAATTCTTACGAAATCAAAATCAAAATGGCGACCATGGAATAGCGTACAAAAGTTCGCTATTGAATGTACATGCACTACTACTCGAGATTTCCATCTACAAAACCCTCCAGCATTTTTAACCAATAACCCCAATAACTCACTTATATTTCTTGTTTATTTTATTTCACTTCCTACTCTAGTCCGTATAGGTTATAAACCGAGGACGCGGGATATAAGTCATATATTCAGGCCCCGAGGATATTTTCAGGCCCTGAGGATATGACTTATATTCGAAGTTCGAGGTTTATAACCAACTTATTTACTAGTTGACGAGGTTTTCGAACAAGCTTAAGGTCAAATACTTTCGATCAAGATTTTTCGAGTTTTGTCGACAAGTTTAATCCAATTATTTATTCACAGGTTATAACCTGCATACATACTGTGGTACATCAAAGAAAACCGACTCAACTAGTAAATAACGGTTAATGCAACCAGCCGAATCTGGTTATACATGCACTTATATTAGAACAGGACGAATTAACATAGTCTGGTTGACTTAGTCATGTTGTATTAAACAGACTAGTTTTTCTGTGTTGGTGTACTCAAGTGAATATGATGTTTGTGATGTTACTCTGAGTGTATATCCAAACCGAGTGAGCTTGAAAAATATGCCCGGCCACGGTGGGAATCGAACCTACGACCTTTGGAATACTAGCCCAATGCTCTGCCAACTGAGCTACGCTACGTTTGGATATACACTCAGAGTAACATCACAAACATTAAACAGACTATGTTAAGTGGATAAATAATCAGGAGCCCTTGGATGATAATCTTGACGTTTCATGTTTTCTCTATAATAATATGTTTTATGATATTAATAATATGTTTCATGTTTTCATCTTTGTAGGTATTTAATATGCTGAATGCGCCACGTGTAAAGAAACGCTTCATGTTGATCTTCCTTCCCTTGTTGGCCATCTATATTTTGGTCATGATTAATGTCTGGAAGAACCAAGACCCTTTCTGCCCAGTAATTATGGTGCACCAACGTTTTAACACTTCCACTAAAGTACGACGTCATCGACTTACAGATGGCGTAGTTGAAGCACCAGTGACACTTTTCATGCGGATGACTGGATTGCACATAAAGCGATTTTACTGTGACTTTTTGAGGACAGCTGTCTTGTTTTGGCCTGCTTCGTATGGAAAACTCGTCCTGGTTTTCGATCAGGAATCGTCCTTGGATCACAAACTAGCTAAAATCTTGGAGAGACAGTTTGATCAATTCTTCCCATATCGTAAACTTGAAATACTTTACGAGCCTCTTCCGATGAACTATAAAACGCTGTTGAAGCTTCCTTGGCCGAAACGTGACACTGGCTACAATCGTCAAATTTGGAGCAGCTTTTTTAATGATTTATACACGAACGACACAGTCATTGCATGGGTGGATTCTGACACTGCATTTTCTACTTCAGTGACGCGAAATTCCATGTACAACGGTACGCGATTGAGAGTAATAGGAACTGATTGCACGCTGTTACATACATACTTTGCTAGACGTTGCGCGCAAAGCGTGGAGGTCTCCATTGGGCTACCGGCTGTGGCCGACTTCATGCTGCATTTCCCTATATACATATATCGCGATACGTATGCTAACTGTAGGGAATACTTAATACGAAGATATAAAGCGCGCAACTTTGAGGAAGTTTACAGGAATATCAGTGCTTACGACTTAATTTGCCCCGTTACGACAATACTCAACTACGCATGGCACTTCGAGAGAAACCGCTACGACTGGAGTCTCAAGATTTGCACCGCACCTCTCGATGAATACAACAAACGCTTTCAACCCAACGCAACTATCAGGCCTTATGATATACAACCTGTCATGGCAGCCCCTCAATCAAGCGTTCATACTGGTGATCCTGGGTCGGCGTTTGATTCGGCTCAGTTAATTCTAGCCAGTTATTGTTTGTCGCACAAAGCGGCGGGACACCATCTGGCATTCTGTACCGGCAAGCGCGACCTTCCACTAAGCAATAATCTTATTCTTTTCAAATATGCAAGAGCGCCGTTGCCGTGCAATGGAGATTTGACATGTAAGTGCCTGGAAGTTTTGCAGCGTCACCATAATCTAGTGGGCTCTGAGATTTTTGAAAACAAACGCAGGATGGAATGGAGCGACGTGGAAATTGTTCAAAAACTTGTGAAGGAAATAGGTGCTACGTGTCCTGTTATTGGTAACGGGAGGCCAGGGGGGGAAATCCCTATTGTATAATTATAAGTAATAGCATAAAAATTGCCATCCTACTTTTCCTACTTTTTCCTACTTCTCTTTAACTTTCCTACTTTTCCTATTTTTTATTAAAAATTGCTTGATTTTCCTACTTTCCCTACTTTTTCTCATAAAATCCTACTTTTTTAAGACAGCTTGGGGAATCAGTATGTTATAGCTCTCGTAATTAGATCTACTCGTAATTTTTATTCCCTATTTGTGTCCCAGATGATAAGATCTCAGGAGGAGAAGAAGTACATTTTCCGAGTATAAAATTTCATAGCATCTCTAGAATCATAATCAAATTAATGGAGACTCTGAAAGTGCCATTTCCGACGATCTAGAGATTCCAAATATTCAACTCCCCCTCAGTTAATTAAGCATCATATATACAGGGCCGTAGCAACCGGGGGGCTGCAGCCCCCCAATAATTTGCTAATAATCATTTTTTTTCAAAGTCATGCAGACCTTTATCATTTAATCCATGACAAACTGCAAAGAATGAAGATATTACCCATACTTTCCCGCAACTTATCCAATATATAGTTAATTAAATACGCCTTTGCCCATTTAGTACTACTAAATTGTAAATTTCGACATACTGAAACGCTGTTTTCTGACCATTAGAATTCTGTCAAATCTTCCCCAAAGTCCAGGAAATGGCATTTTATTTCCTCGGGCCTTCGGCCCTCGCTTTCAGTCCCCCACAATCGAAAAGAGCTTTTTACGGCCCTTATATATGCTGCTGACGCAGTGTGGATTGGTGCATTGTGGATTGGTGCATTGTGTAGCCCAATACCATAGAATAAAGATCCATAAAGAAGGGCCACTTACGTCGGAAGCTTTGAAATTTCTGTCCTCGCGCATGTCGCATTACGCATGTTGGCCGCCATTTCCTAGCCAGTCAATGACATTTTCTGGCCAATAAACACGCTGTACTGGCTGGCTACTCCGCCTTCTGGCCAGTAAACTGCATATTTTTGCATAAAAAACGAGGACACGTTGCACCGCTGAGTGGCCCTTCTGTTACTGATATTTATTCTGTGCCAATACATGCATTTGAATTGTGTTGCTGCAGAGCAGATGCCTTAGCTTTTATACCGATGCAATTTAAAAGTTTTGATAAACAAATCCTGCATATAGGTGAATGAGTACATAAAAATATTGAGCACCAAAAATTCACACAATTGTAGTGTTATTTGCATCTCCAAAACTCCTACTTTTGTCCTACTTTTCTACACAATTTCCTACTTTATTCCTCAGTACTTTTCCTAAAATTCTAGTCCTACTTTTGTCCTACTTTTCTACACAAGGATGCCAGAAAGCCTGTGAGGGTCGTTTAGTAAAATTCCCTTGGGCGCCGCTCGATGAGGGTCATTTAGTTCCTTCCAGAGAAAATTTAGAATTTGGAGATTAGAAGTATGAGATTAGCCAAATTATCTACTTTATTTTCAAAACTACAATTTAATCGTACGTTTCGTTGACAATCGATTAGCAAAATTGGATATCTGTTTTCAAAGTGAATGCTCAAGAACCGGACATAATAACACCAAATAGATTCGGTCTCCTGTCCACGGAACATGACTCAGATAAAGAATCAGAATCTAATGACGAAATTGACCCGAGTGAGTCTAGCACTTCGACTGTTAGACAAAGTAGGTCAAGTAATTTAAACATGGATTCGAACAAACACGATAGAAAACAAAGGAGAAAAGAAAGTCAATCAACCCAAACTTCCATTGAATTTTCCAAGGGCAAGGCCAAAACCAACAATAGAAAGCATACAACAAATGCAAATTCAAACGATTTATTTCAAACAGGCTCAAAGAATAATAAGTCTGGCAAACTTGTTTTCATCGCCGGGGACTCAATTCTACAACATGTTCACGGCTGGGACTTGTCTAACGATAAACAACGTGTATCTGTAAAGTCCTTTTCAGGGAGTAAAGCTGAAGATATGCAAGATTACATAAAACCATTACTACGCAAAAAGCCCGACGAGATAATATTGCATGTAGGCACTAACAATATTAAAGATAACTCCAAGACGGTAGAAGTAGTTGCTGCGGGTATCTTAAACCTCGGAACCCAAATAAAGGATAGTCTACCATGCACTAACGTATGTATATCGGGCATTATTACCAGGAAAGTTAAAGCTAATATCCAGAACAAAATTAAAACTGTAAATGACATTCTTAAACGGGTCTCTGACCAAAACAAATGGACCTATATAGACAACACTAATTTAGATTATACTTGCCTAAATAGAGGTGGCCTACATTTAAATAGAAAGGGTAGTAGCACTCTTACTAGAAATTATAGTAATCACTTTAGTCGTAATTGAAATAAGGCATGGCCAGGTGCTGTAAGGTATGCTCAATTTAACCCATATTTCCCTGATTTCAAGGGTTTCAAAATGGGTATGCTTAACATAACCAGTTTACCTAAGCATATTGACGAAATTAGGATCATATTAGCCGATGAATGTCTCGATATTCTTGCATTAAATGAGACAAGATTGGATGATACTATTAATAACCAGGATATGTATATAAGTAATTATGATCTTATTAGGGTCGATCGCTCTAGAACAGGGGGAGGCGTCTGTTTATATGTGAAAACTTCCCTTAACTATTTAGAACGAAAAGATCTGACTAGAGATAATCTCGAAGCTATATGTGTTGAGATTCGCAAACCTTCCACTGCACCATTTATTGTCGGTACATTTACAGACCTCCAAGTGCTTCTGTTGACTCTTTTGCCACAATTGAGCAATTAGTAAAAACAATAAATGATGAAAATAAGGAATTTTACATACTTGGTGACTTAAATGCTAACATGCTTGACACCTCAAACAATGCCACAAAGAATTTAAATTCAATCATGGAATTATATCAATTATCGCAAACGATAAACACACCCACCCGTGTGACCACGATCTCATCCTCCCTAATAGACGTTTGTCTTACTCCCAATCCAACTAAGTTAATAACATCACAAGTAATACCGATTGCCATTAGTGATCATTACATGATCTTCGTTGTTCGTAAAATAAATATCCAGCGCAAACAGAACAGTCACAAGAAAGTTGAAATTCGTAATTTAAAATATTTTAATGCTGAGAGTTTTCAAGCTGACCTGCATGGTCAGGAATGGGAATTATTAGATAACAATCTCGGCGTTGATAAGATGTGGGACACATGGAAAACACTTTTCGTACAAGTTCTTGATAGGCATGCCCCAATCAGGGAAAAGAGAGTTAAAAGTAAACCAAATGTTCCTTGGCTCACTAGTACAATTAAAAAACAAATCCACGAACGCGATCGCCTTAAATCTCTTGCTATTAGACATAAATCCGAAAATTACTGGAACGCATACAAAACCTCTAGAAATCGCGTAACTGATGCATTGCGAGAAACAAAAGCAGCATATTATAAAGGAGAATTTAAGAAAGTCAAACATGATCCCAAACAAGCATGGGAAACTGACAGTGTGAATAAAATCCTAAACCGTAAACAAGGAAGTAGAGAAATAAATTGTCTTGAAACACAGAGAGGACAAATTTCACAATCAACGGAGTTAGCGGAATGTTTTAATAATTATTTCACCAATATTGGTCCAGATATTGCCAAAAATATCGACAATGGTGACAGAAATTTCAAGGATTACATCACGACAACAACTAGTAGCTTTAATTTTCAAACAGTGTCTGAGTCGAACGTATACAGACTTCTGTTATCTCTAAATCCTCGTAAATCTACTGGAATTGACAAAATCCCTGCTAAAATTATTCGCATTGCTGCTCCCAGGGGCGTAGGAAGCACCTGGAGTTTGGGGGGGCACCGGCTTGTAGGGGCACATTACTATCGGAAAGGGCACCTAAAAAATTTTTCCCGGAAATGTTGTCGACGGGGGGGAGAGAAATTTCTCCTGAGGAAAATTTTCCGTCGTATCATACCGAAATTTATGTTTGTGACCTAATTTTTAAAAAAAATTTGTAAATTTCCACACAAAAACGGCACCTATTGTTTTAATTTAGTATTTACAGCGACATTAGCTTCTACAAAAGGGGCACTTTTCCTCACAAAAAAAGGGCACTTTTCAACACAAAAAGGGCACTTTTTATCACAAAAAAGGGCACTTTTAATCCTTTAAAAAAATTTGGGGGGGCACGTGCCCCCCGTGCCCCCCCGCTTCCTACGCCCCTGGCTGCTCCTGTAATTACAAACTCATTGACAAAAATTTTCAATATGGCGATTATAAGTTCAACTGTTCCTTTTGAGTGGAAAATAGCAAGAGTCACTCCCATATTTAAAAACGGCCCACGAAACTTATTAAACAACTATCGCCCCATTTCTATCCTCCCTGCAGTAAGTAAACTTTTTGAAAAAGTATTATACGAACAACTCCATGAGTATCTTGTTACACAGGAGTTGTTGTCCCCTCGTCAATTTGGTTTCAGGAAGTTTCATTCTACAGCCTCTGCTCTTTTAGATAGTACAAATGAATGGTTTATTAATATGGACCGTGGTTTGTTTAATATAGCTGGTTTTCTGGACTTACAAAAGGCGTTCGACACCATAAATCATGACATCCTCTTAACGAAACTTGATCTTTATGGCCTACAGAAGCCATCATTAAACCTTTTAGGATCCTATTTAGCGAATAGAACCCAAATGTGCTCCGTTAATGGCGCTCTGTCGGGCACGAAGTTGGTTACATGTGGAATCCCTCAAGGTTCAATTCTTGGCCCACTCTTATTCTTGATCTACATTAATGATCTGCCTAACAGTTTGGAGTACTCGTCGACAAGAATGTTTGCCGACGATACGACTCTAACTGTATCTGGCAAGTCAATCCAAGATGTAGAGGTGGCCATAAATCATGACCTTACCAACGTTAAACAATGGCTATACTGCAAATAGATTATCTCTTAATCTAGTCAAAACTGAGTATCTACTAATAGGATCTCGGTACAACATAAATAATTTACTTGCTGCTCCAAATGTATTTGTTGGTGATACACCAATTAAAAAGGTCAAAGAAACAAAAGTGCTTGGAGTTCATATTGACGAATTTCTATTGTGGGATATATTAATAAAATTGCTAAGAAGATTTCACCCGGAATTGGGGCGATCAGAAAGCTAAAACTTGTGTGGATCATAATACATTAATTTGTGCTTATAATGCACTTATACTTCTACACCTAGATTATTGTTGCGAAGTTTGGGACACCATTGGTGCCACACTTTCTGATCGACTCGAGAAACTACAAAATAGGGCAGCTAGAGTTATTACTGGCCGTAAAAACGAACACGGTCAATCTGAACTTGCTCTAGACGAACTGAAATGGAAACCTTTAAGTGAACGCAGAACACATTTCGTAGCAAGTCTTATGTATAAAATAACTCGCGAACTGGCGCCAAAACGACTAACCAATATTTTTCAAAGGACGTCTTCCTTTTATTACTATAATATGCGAGGCTCTTCCACCAAACTCTTTTTGCCCAAACCTAAGACTGAATATCTTAAAAAAAGTCTTAGTTATAGAGGAGCGAAATTGTGGAACAGCCTTTCTGATGAAGCAAGAAACAAACACACTCCTGCTTCGTTTAATTCATGTATACGACACCTGGCCAATTAATTAATTAATTAATAAAATAATTGCGTTAATTTAAAATATTGAACAGTACTAACATTAATTTAATTTGTAAATAATCATATACTAGTTGTATTTGTAAATGTATTGTAATTGTTGTTAACTGTAATGTAATGTAATGTATGACCATAATTTGTATCAACTGTATTTTTAACTATTTAAATCTACGCCTCCCTTGGAAATCAGCCTTCCTTGTAGGGGTTAGCGTAGTTAAATAAAGTTTTACCTACCTACCTACCTACCTAGTGTATACCAAACCGGGCAAGCAGAAAACTACTTGACCGCGGCTGGGATTCGAACCCTACGAAGGTCGCGGGTTCGAATCCCAGCCGCGGACCATACGAAGGTCGCGGGTTCGAATCCCAGCCGCGGTCAAGTAGTTTTCTGCTTGCCCGGTTTGGTATACACTCGTCTGAAAACAACTCAAAAACCGCTACATAACGTAACACGAGTGGAATCGTCAACGTGGGAAACCACAACATTTATATATATATATATATATATATATATATATATATATATATATATATATATATATATATATATATATATATATATATAAAAATAAAAGGACTGTCCCAAGACCAATTTTAAGTGCAAAATTGCTGAATGTGGTGCTAAGCATCACACACTGTTGCATCATACGAAGGGTGCAGTGACGGAGCGAGATAAAATGAAACAGAAGGAGGTTGAAATCAGGAACTAAGAACGAAGATGGGGCCGGAGACAGTGTGCAACAAGTAAACGGAGAATCAAATGGCTCAGTTGCAGCAACGAGGGCTGGGGAGAAGAGAGTATGCCTCGGTGTTATTCCAGTGCGTGTTCGGAGTCAAAATAGTACTCATGAGGTGGAAACGTACGCGTTGTTAGACAACGGATCAGAGGTGACTTTGTGTCATGAGCGATTAATGGAAACCCTAGGGCTGGACGGTGACAAATTGAAATTTACCTTAACTGGAATAAATGGAACAACTGAGGTGGAAGGCCAAAGCATAAACATTGTTGTTGAGTCGTTTGATGGCAATACTGCTGCCGAGTTATCGAAAGTAAAAACGGTGAAACAAATGCCAGTTTCAAAGGGCTGCATACCGAAGAAGATTGATTTGGAAAGATGGCTTCGTCTAAAGGATATTGAAATCCCTGAGTTAGTTGACGGGGAAATATTGCTGTTGATTGGTTTAAAAGAGAGACCACGTTTATTCCTACCTTTGGAAGTTCGAGAAGGCGGTGACGAAGAACCAGTTGCCATTCGATATAGCTGGGCCATGGGATGGATAGTGATGGGTCCTGTTGGTGGAGCTAAAGAAACGCGCGATTGTCTTGTGAATTTTGAAAGAACGAAGAATGTCAATAGTGGTCTCGGAATGAACAATGACTTTGGCACCAAGGAAAATCTTTCGGGCAATGTCACCATTAAAGATATAGATAAAAGAGAAGATGTATGTAATGAATTTGGGCTAGAAAACTGCATGTTTGTTGATCAAAGAGTAACAAGTGAAGATGATCTGCTAAGGCGCCAGCTAGAGCGTCTTTGGAACACGGACTTCAACGAGTCTACAGTACGAAGTAACGAATCAAATCTATCGGTTGAAGATAAGAGAGCCGTAGAAATAATGGAGCAAACGTTGAAAAGGAAGGATGGTCATTTCCAAGTAGCACTTTCGTGGCGAAAAAACCCGTGGTGATCCCAAATAATAGACCAATGGGTGAGAAACGTCTTCATTCGTTAAAACGTCGATTGAAGAAGAATAGTGAGTTATTCGTAAAGTATAAGGACGCTATGCAAGATTATATTGATAAGGGGCACGCCGAAAGGGTACCAGAAGAAGAGCTGGAAGTAAACAATGGCAAAGTATGGTACTTACCTCACCAACCAGTCACGCATCGCCTGAAACCAGAGAAAGTAAAGGTTGTATTTGACTGTGCTGCAAAGTATAAAGACCAATCCCTGAATATGCAGTTATTACAAGGTCCTGACTTAACAAATAATCTGGTTGGCGTCCTGATACGTTTCCGAGAAGATTCCATGGCTCTAGTTGCGGACATTGAGTCCATGTATTACCAGGTGTTCGTGGTTCCTGACGATTGCAACGTATTCCGATTCCTTTGGTGGAAAAACAGTGATTTGAATGAAGAGCCGACCGAGTATCGTATGGTGAAGCATGTCTTCGGGGCAACATCGTCGCCCTGCTGTGTGAATTTCTGCTTGAAGAAAACAGCTTCCATCTTTGGAGGAGAGTTTTGAAAAAGAAGTGTCGGAGACGATCGATAGAAACATGTATGTCGATGACTTAATGAAATCTGTGAACGGTGCAGAAAGAGCAATTTTTCTCGCTAAGCAGCTACGAGACCTGTTGCAGAAGGAAGGCTTTAGATTAACCAAGTGGCTAAGTAATAATCGCGAAGTCTTAGCGACAATACCAGAGTATGAGCGAGCGAAGTCTGTAGTTAACTTGGACCTAGAGGATTTACCAACAGAGTCGGCTCTTGGGCTGAAATGGAATGTCGAGGAAGATGCGTTCGCTTGGGAGCTTGACAGCGAAGCTTTAGTTCAGGCAGGCACAACGAAAGGCGTTGACTAGACGTGGGGTCTTAGCTGTAGTGTCATCTCTTTTCGATCCACTTGGTATGATAGCACCGTATGTTATGAAAGCAAAGCTTTTGCTCCAAGAATTATGAATCTGACAAGATTAATGAATCTGACAAGAAACAGTGGTTACGTTGGTTAAGCGACTTATCGAAATTAAAGGAGGTGAAAATAGGACGGTGTTTCAAGCCCAATGGCTTCGGTGAAATCCAGACTGCGGAACTGCATCTCTTTTCCGACGGATCCCAAGACGGGTATGGAGCAGTGGCTTATCTTAGGATGGTCGACGATAGAGATCGCATTGATTGTTCCTTTGTTCTTGGAAGAGCTCGAGTAGCACCCATTCGCGAAATTACAATTCCGCGTTTAGAATTATCCGCGGCTGTTGTGTCCGTTCAGCTTCGAGAGACGATATAAAGAGAGTTGGACATAAGACTTGATCGTGTGATGTTTTGGTCTGACTCTATGTCAGTGCTGAAGTGCATAAGAAACGAAACGAAGCGCTTCCATACGTTCGAGTCCTATCTCCTTACTATCATTCATAACGGATCAAACGTCTCAGAATGGAAATATGTTAAAAGTGAAGAGAATCCCGCGGATGATGCTTCTAGGGGGCTGAAATTGGATGCGTTGCTGCAAAAGGAAAGGTGGTTAAAGGGTCCGACGTTTCTATGGAAGAGCGAAAGTGAATGGCCCGCTAGTGTTGAAGTACCAAGTTTAAGCGACGACGCTCCTGAAGTGAGACGTGGTGCAACTGTTTACACCACCGCAACTAGTGAAAGAATCCTGGAGTCTTTAGTTCAAAGATACTCGACTTGGTCGGGATTGGTGAGAGCATTCGCTTGGCTATCGAGATTTAAAGATTATTTGAGGATGAAGGTTTCCAAAAAAACAGTGAGTTTCGAGTGGCAGGAAAGACGGAATTGAAAGTTGGGAATTTGAAAGTTGACGAGCTGAAGACAGCAGAGCGAAATGTTGTTCGTTACGTACAACACACGTCATTCCCTGCGATCATCACCGCGCTTCAAGAAGGATGATCCAAAGCGGGTAAAGGACACATCAAGCGAAATCTGCAAAACATTGGGAGCTCTCTATACCAGCTCAACCCAACGTTACAAGACGGATTGATAATTGTAGGAGGACGGCTTGAGTTCGCGAACATCAGTGAAGAAGCAAAACATCCAATGGTTCTACCAAACAAGCATCACGTGACTGACCTGATAATAAGACATTATCACACAGTAGTTGGACACATGGGACAAGAATCTGTTCTAGCAGGTCTTAGAGAGAAATTTTGGGTCTTAAAGGGAGAGCAGCTGCGAGACGCATTATACGTTCCTGCAAGGATTGCCAAAAGAGGAAGAAGCCGACATGTGAGCAGTTTATGGCAGACTTGCCACGTGATAGAGTGACAGCTTATGAACCACCGTTTACGTCGGTTGGCGTCGATTATTTCGGTCCAATTGAAGTAAAACAGGGCAGATGTCATGTTAAACGTTATGGTTGCATATTTACGTGCTTGAACACCTGTGCGCTGCATATCGAGATTACACATTCTCTCAACGCGGACTCGATGTTTAACGCGTTGGGAAGATTTGTAAGTCTAAGGAGATGTCCACGCAAGCCCGTAGCTGGCTCTCAATTTCTGAGGGGGCACTGCAGAAAGAATGTAACAGAGGGGTTGGAATGATTTTGACTTTCGTGCTAGCAGCTAGTTTTCCTTTCCAGCTCAGAAAAATTGGGATCGAACGGAACGTTCTTCTACACTGTAAAAGTATTATATTTGCGCTCAATTTTGTGAGTCTTTAAAGTTCTGTATAGGGTTAGTTCAGCCGTCTGCTATCTAGCCTAGCTTCTAACAATGAGATTATTTATTTTAGGCCACAAGCAATCTATTTTCGTACAAAAATTGACAAACTTTTCATACAAAATGTGTATGGTATTGTAATGCATATGACTTTATTGACCCAGCCCTGCTATCTTTGTTTAGTATACATTCAATCAAGGAATATTACAAATTCATAATTTTGATTGGTTCCTCAACCATTGGTATAATCCATGGTAAAGAAAAATACAAAACAAAATTACAAATCACGCACTATTTGTGGATATTTTTGTCTAAATTGATACAAAAATATAAAATTAACCTCAGCATATAGTAAGAAATTAGGCTATGCCTTTGTTGGCTTGAATATGACAGTCGCGTTGTCTATTTTTTTTAAATGGCGAAAAATGTGGAATAAGGGGGGGGGGCATAATTTCAATTTTATTTCCAAGTGGGGGGGGGATTTGGACACGCTGACGCCAAATCACCTTCTACATCTACGACCTTGTCCTTCTTTACCACCCGGCGTGTTTGGGAACGATGACAAGAATACGCGGCGTCAGTGGAGACAAGCACATTTTCTAACCAATATGTTTTGGAAAAGATGGATCAAGGAGTACCTTCCGTCGTTACAAAGGCGACAAAAACGGAGCGAACTTCGGGATAATTATGTTAAAGATCGATGACGTCGAACTTTTGGCCAATGAGAATTATCCGAGAGGGCAATGGCCGTTTGCTCGAGTGGTAGAAGTGATGAAAGGAAATGATGCATGGAATGGTTTCGTAGTGCCAAGATAAAGACGTGCTCGAGAGTAGTGACCCGTGCGAAAAGGAAGCGTCGGGGAGAAGTGAAAACAACAACTGCCATGTTGGAACGCCCGATCACGAAGCTGTGTCGTCTGGAGATGGACAACATTTGAACTAGCAGGGACGTAAACTATTATCATAACGGTAGCTATTGAAGTTGCGTAGTAAATAAATCTTAACGTTCATTTAGGGGCCGATGTAGCTACCATTAGATATTATCAATATTACATAATTAAGAAAACTATAAGCGGGGTTGGGAGGGGGGCGTGTTTTTGGGATTGATATTTTGCTCTTGACTGCGAGGGAAGACGAATTTGAACTGTGACTTTTTGCGAGCGAAAGAATGATTGTTAAAGATGTGAATTAGTTTGATACAGTCGGTAAGGACTTTCTTTGTTACTTTAATATTATGTTATGTATAAGATATATAAGTAATTTATTGCGTATCGCTGAATTGAGACGGGAGAGAAAGGAGTTGAGTTATACGTATCAAATCTATGATTTAGAGCGAATTTTGAATTAAAGCTAACGCGGGTTAGCTACATGAGTCTAGTTCCTTCAATATCAGTGTAATCTAATAATCATGATATTTGCTGTGTTGGTGTAATGTACTCAAGTGAATAAGATGCTTGTGATGTTACTCTGAGTGTATATCCACATCGGGCAGGCTTGAAAAATATGCCTGGCCACGGTGGGAATCAAACCTACAACCTTTGGAATACTAGCCCAATGCTCTGTCAACTGAGCTACGTCTTATTCACCTGAGTACATTACACCAACATAGCAAATATCATGAATTATTATTAGTTTACACTGATATTGAAGGAAAACAGACAGTTGACAGAGCATTGGGCTAGTATTCCAAAGGTCGTTAGTTCGATTCCCACCGTGGCCAAGCATATTTTTCAAGCCTGCCCGGTGTGGATATACACTCAGAGTAACATCACAAGCATCTTATTCACCTGAGTACATTACACCAACACAGGAAATATCATATGTAGACCAAATAACTCAAAATGTTATACCGCTTTCAAATATTTGGAAAATTTAAACTAGAATCAAAGTTATCGGTCAGTGAAAGTCGCAAAATCGCGCCGCGTTGTCGAATCGCGTCCGGTGTGTCTGGACCTTAGAGTAAAAGTACTTTTTGATAGAATCCGTATTGAGCACTGTGATACGTCTTTTCCACCATGCCATTTTTCCTGTGCCCTTCCTGGAATGTATTAATTGACGCTCTCGCGAAGCTTTAAAAATCTATATAGCTCATTTATATACCGTATCCTGTACATGTTGTTCAATTATCTCAGAGGACCATAATAATTTTAATTTTTCCCTGGATGATCATAGCTTTAAAAGATTGTCAGTTTTGCACTTACTTGTTGTATTAATAACACTACTCCAGTTGCTATATGGTGACGACTCATTCAATTTTATAGCGATTACTCGAAATTTATAACCAGTATTCGGTTCAAGATCTTCAACAACATATGTTGTTTGGTTGGTCTATAGTGGGTGAAATGCATTATCATATTATCAGAATCAATACAGAAATTGTACATACATGGAAACGGGGTTTGTCAGTCGTCGTGGCAAATGCAGAATCTTAGATGGTCGTGTCTTTAAAGAGCATAAGCCTTATTTACTATTTTGCAATGGACCTTGTATACCGAAAACTAATTCAATGACTTGATGAATATTTCTTTTAGGATATGACTTGGGCGTGAGCATGTTCTCTCTTTAATTTCCGTGCCTTGTCTTTAAATACATTCTTTCATTCAGCCTATATTTTTCTACGAACTGAATAAATAAATGGAACGCATGATACTGCGATCGCAATATAAATTCGGCCTTTTTAAAGATGGGTAACTGAAATAAAAATCTACTTACACTGTGGTACTTCATTGTGTAAGGAAACACAACAAAGACATTATTCCTCTCCTGAAGGATCCATTGTGGCTGGACTTCCAAAATATAATGAAGATTACTGTATCGTTCTAGCTCTGTCGTATTGAAACTTAATTGTATCGTTTGCCATCCAGCTTCAACCAATCTTGGTACTGCAGGCTTTGGTAAAGTTCTTTCGTAATCTTTCGCAAATATAAATTTATTAAAAAACATTAGTCATTGATAATCAATTAAAACATGAAATTACTATTTCTTCTCACAAAATGCACGTAAAGAAGGTCAACAGTTTGCTTTTCATGTAAATTTCCTAAAATAATGTCACGAGACAATAAGTAGAACTTTGGTACATAAATACGTTACTATTTGATAATACTATTGGGTGAAAATCATAGATATCTTATATACACTAGATAGCGCATTCCCTTAGTAAAATTGAAGCCAAGAATATTCCAGCGGTTACTCCCATTTGAATAAATGGCGGCCAAGTTGAAGTTTCCCAATCGCTAATAAACGCTTAAAAAACAACAATAACTTTCATCATTTGAATAGTTTGAAAATGTTTTTGGAATAGATTTAACTTAATGTTTATTAGTTCCCTGTTTAAGAAATAGAAAACATACGAATCTTCTTATTTCATGGGAATATCCTCAGTCTGTAATCACGGCTTCAATTTTTGAATTGCATAATAATTACATGCACTATCTAGTGTATATAAGATATCTATGGTGAAGATAAGGTCGATAAGGGTTAGAATTAATAAACTATATTCACCCTCGTCGAAAACATGTTTTAGAAATGTTGCAGTGAAAATTTTTCTTAACCATTAGTGATTTGGTAGTCAAAATTAGCGATTTCGCAGTTAATGTGGCTCCCTACAGTTTTGATTGTACAGCACACAACTGTATTCAAAACCCATTATTTTATCATCTTGCAAAGTATGATCACGAAACTTGGCCACATAACTGCTACAATATCGCGAATTGCGAAAAATAAAAAATGTCGTTAAAAATCCCCGTTGCCATGGTAACAAAGCGATTTTAAAAAGGGCCAATTTGCAGATTCTTTGATAATTTTTGAAAATTTCTTCGGTAAAACTTTTTAATTTTTTGCACACAGTAATCTTATCTATAATTCCTTCAAATGATAGCATTTAAAAACTAGAGGGCACTCAGAGACTGTATACCTCCGCCCATACAGGGTGTATAAACGCGAGTGCATAAAGCAAAATTTATGCATTTATTAAATGACACTTAATAAGTTTTTATTTTACAAGTACAGTACAACACAATAATATGATCTACTAGCAATTCGATTTCATTTCCCAGGGACCTACAAACCAAAGGGGCGTTTAATTAATCACGTATTTCCCCCATTTCCTATTTATGCGCTTTTTTCTTCCAAATTTCCCTTCCTAATTTCCACGGAAAATTTAGTTGAAAACCAAAGATTTCTTTGTCTTCTAATTTTTCCTGCATACTTGATGATGGAAATTTAGAAGACAAAAGCGTACCTCATTACCTCTCATTGGAGAGCTGTACCTCATCAAAAATCATCGGCATAACTATGGACAGTATCTGACGACACCGTCCCGCACACATTCGAACAATCACTTTGCTAGTTTTTATTTCGCAATCTTGAACATTTCAATTGTGGGAGAAAATTCGGTTTATGCGCATGCCTAAAAAGAATGAACACGCAGATGTGTTTCTGCGCATGCGTATATGATATGAAAAGTGTTCATCCCGCAATCATAAGACAATCCCAAGAGACTTTTACTAAACCTCCCTTGGGTTGCGGGTTCATTTTAATGTTATTATTAGAATTTAGATGGCCCAGCACTTTGCTGAACGCAACGATGCGTAACTCCGTAAGCCTACATTGAATTTCAGTCGCGTGAAGAAAATAGATAATGAAGGGTGAAGCTTAATGAGGTTTATCATCTCATTATTATCCATTGCATGACTATTGTCTTAATCGTATTCGTCGCCACCGAAATTCGGCATATAAAACGTACCTAAAATATTGCCAGCGTGTATAGATAACTATTAACCTATTATTATTATTACGAAATTAGAATATATTTGTAAAGCACACGATTTTTGAGCAGCCTCCCTTATATAAGTGAGATCGATTTACAATTGTATACAATCTAAAAAGAATATAGCATTGTTTGTATACCTTTATATACCCTGTATACTGGTGCATAAATTATCACACGTCCTAATTACGCATTCAGTAAGTTTTTTTAATTGACCGGGAAAAGGAAAAGCAAGACAAAATTTTGTTCATTTCTCGTTCAATTTTCAACCAAATTGAACCAAATTTTCATCAACTCTTCCTTAACCGATGGCAAATGCATTAAAAAAATTTCGTGTGAATATGTTTGGTATTTCTTGAGTTATCGTGCTCAAATTTGGATTGTACGATTTTCTTAAAACTTACACATTTTGCGCACTTCAAGATTACAGGATAGTGTGTGAAGTTTTAAAAAATTTTCCCGAAGGAAACACGAGAAAATTACATTTATTTTTATCTTTGTGACGTCACAAAAATCAGGATTTCAATTTCTTTGCGCGACCAGCCGACAATCCCACGAAGGCTCGCGCGTATATATGACAACGCAATTTTAAAAAACTCTCCACGCGTGCAACGTCGACCGCGCGTGTTACGTGTAGCACTACTAATCTCGCGCGTGGACTACTAATCTCGCGTGTGGACAAAATTTCCGCGACACAGACCTAAAGCTGTAGGGAGCCACCTTAAATTGACGTCTGCGACAGAAGTGATATACATTTCCCATAAAAATCCGTATCTTTGATTCGCGATTTTGGGTTCATGCATTTGAGTACATGCATTTGGGTTCTGTAATGATTTTAAATGAATTTTAAACATCTCAAATATTTCTCTAAATCAAGGGCACCTCTACCCCCATGCTCCCTTAGAAAAGGACAGAAAGGGTGATGCCCTCCGTTTTCCAGCGTCCCTATCTGTACACTGTTGTATTATAAATTATGAATTTTCTTCAGTCGAATTCATTTTTTTTTATAAACTATATAATATTATAAACTATATAATATTATAAATAATATGAAATATAGAAATGAACAATAATGTTATAGGATGAGCAACAGCATGCTATAAGTGTTAGATTATACTAGTGTTAGATTACGTAAGGATTAGGCTGGATTAAGTGCTATAAAGTTAGTTTTAGGTTGAAGATCATAGTCAGAATGTAAGAAAATCACATTAGTTCTGTGCACTTGAAGGAGTTTTACTTAATAACAGCAGAGCGTTTCTGTATAAATGTGTGGCGTTTCCGTAGAATGAAATTCAGACGACTTTGGCAGAAATATAGACGCTTTCCTTACAAATGTAGACTTCTTCCGTACAAATGTGGATGCCGTCCATAGAAATTTTATGCACGCCTTCCATACAAATGTAGACGAGATGTTGAAGATTTTGCTTGCATACATTGTTTAATATTTTTACAGCAGCCCAAATTACAGAGGCTTCGCAGCTTGATTGTATTTGCTTCACCAGATCTTGAACGGTAAAGCCAAAATATTAGTGTTAGGTACCATTTCAAAGTTCTCTGGCATCTCAGTCATAGCCTCTTGAGATAGAGTAAGATCCCGGAGCAGATTAACAGCTCGCTTTTCTTCATACTTTCGATCTGGACAGTTTGGATCCTAGGAAACTTGATTTACATCATCTTTATTGGACATTCAGCAATAAAACTTCATTTGATCAGTGAATCTGATAAGAGTTGACGAGGTTGCACTAACTTTGCTTTCTTCAACAACAAAGAGCTTGTGCACTTCGTGACGTAACCTCATATATTCTGAAGCCCACACCGATCCATTAATTCCAACGAAGTGCTTAGGTCTGTTAAATAATGTGACATCACTACAGTATCTATCAGTTTTACTTGAACTTTAGAATCAATCTCTTCAACCTCGTATACCATGATTTACACCAGGGGTTTCATTTACAAGATGTTCAGGGAAATCATATTTAGGCAAGACCCTTTGCTTAGAAGGGTCAGATGGCTGGTATATTCTGATATTTCTGGCACTCTTCATTCCTGGTGATGAAAAAAAACACAATGAATTTCCTTAAAAACATAGAGTTATTTATAGACTTTAAATTTAGGCAGCTACATCATATTTGACAAAAATCACTCCATAGGTAAGTCAAGTATAAATATTACTAATACAATTTCTATTTAACACACAGCACACTATATACTTAGCTTACCAGTAGTAGTTCCTGGGCAGATATATGCCTTGTCATCTCTTGAAATGAAAAGGTTATGTTTCAAACCTTCACCATCCTCTCTTCTGCACCGCTTCATTAAAGTCTCTTTCTTGAAAGCTCGTTGGTGGTGAGTAAGCATATTTTCATTGTCCTGGAGCTTGGGTGGCTTTTTAGAACAAAAGAGACCAAGACAAAGGTGTCTTGTTGCTTGAATGGATCTACAGTATTTTGGGCGTGCCCTGCACGATCTACAGTATTTTGGGCGTGCATCTCGGGTGGCTAGTGCACCTTGCTTTGCTCGGTCGATTCGGGAAACTTCCAGCCACCCTCGGTGCGTCCAATCTCGGACTCACCTCCCTGCAAGCATGGTTGTTATAAAGACACTGCAAGCCATGCAGTGTACCACACCAATGTCGAGTGATTCCCACAATGTTACAACTTGTAAGTGTATATATTTTAACATGTTTTGCCTGGCGGATGTAAAAACAAAGATAATTTTGGTAAAAAATTTAAACTTTGGTATGTTTTTCTACACCATAGGGCCAGCACCGGCCAAAGCTTTGTGGATCCCAAATCCACTGACCACTCAAATGGAATTTTACAACAAAGTTTCATGTGAATGGTATGAAGTTGTTTTTGATCTTAATATTGCTCCCTTGCAGTTCAAAAATTATGTTATAGAACAACGTGTCTCGCGATGGAAAATACAGAAGATCATTGATTTGCTGAAGAATGGCTTTGAAAATATTTCCAGTGATGAGAACAAGGATGGAAACGCTAGGAATGTGCAAAAGTTTGCATCGGAGATGACATCATTTAAATCTGGCCAGGTGACAAGGCCAAAGCTCTGGGAGCCCAAGATATAATCGAGAAGTTGTTAGCAAACGTTCAATGCTCTTCAACAAGGCAAATGAGGTTAAGCCTTGGAAAGCCAATGAATTCAGATTTTACGACGAACAAATTGGATGAACTAAAATCGATGAAGGTGAAATTAGAAAAACGTCACACAACAATCATTACTAATTGTAATTTATTAAGCGGGAAAATTTCCTCCAAAAATGTTGTAGAGAGAGAATGCAAGAGAAAACGTAAGCGTGCTGAAGAGAATCACGAAAATCAGAAATTCACGAAACTACGAGAGTTTGAAAGAGCGTGTGATATCACAAAGATTATTACAAGTTGCAGAATCAAGTACGAATCTCTGGAGAATGGTGCTGAAAAATATCTCAAGTAGATTTGTGTGCTGAGCCTATTAAATAACTTAAACCAAGGTAGAAAAATACCCGCACATCTCCACAAGTTTACATCGGTACTACCCACACTGGCACAGACAGTTATTAGATATTATAGTATCCCATGCCTGCCGTGGGATATTATAAATTTACAGTATCCCATGAGTGGATTTTTGATTTCCGTGACTAAAAACAACAAAGCGTCCATTTACATCACACCAAACATTTGTCATATAGCCCACTACAATTGATTGTACGATCTTACTTGTTGTTTTATGACCGCCATTGGGACAAATATAGCAATTAGGAAGAGCAAATTCGTGCGTGTGTAGTTCACTTGCTGCCATTTTGCATAATATAGTCAACTGAAGTCACCATAGTTACCAAACTATGTGCGAGCATTAGTTTTAGATTTCTACGGAAGGCGTCTACATTTGTATGGAAAGCTTGCATAAAATTTATATGGACGGCATCTACATTTGCACGGACGAAGTCTACATTTGTGCGGAAAGCGTCTATATTTCTGCGCCGGAAGTTGTCTGAATTTTCTACGGAAACGCCGCACATACGGGAATGAGACTTATAAGATTGTAAGAATCAGAAATAGCTAAGAAATCATTGGAATAAAGTATCGACTTTAGAAAAGCTAGTTAGTACATACAAGATGTATCAGAAAAATAATAGACAATTTTGAAACGGTTCTCAATTTCACAAATCCGTTCATGTCATGAAAGTTTTGATAAATATAGGCTGTTTTGGCACTTGTAATGTATAATAAACAAAAAATAAAGTAAAGATAAATTTTCCAGAGCAAGGGGGGGGGTCTTTTTTAGCAGCACTAAAAATAGCTTGCGCGCGAAATTTAAAAGTTAAATGAGATTTGCAATAAAAAATTAGGTTGTCCCATTCAAAATAACTCTTAAAATTATGTATTAATCTCTATTACCGATTTGTCATATGTTGCTTAGTTCTCGGAATATTTGAACCGAAATTAATGAGCTGTCCGCCATCTTTGACAAATTCTTGACCTCAAGATGATATCCAGTCGAATCTGCGCATGTGCGGTAAATATTGTTTGTGGGGTGCACAAACAAACCACATTAATGTAAATTACATGAAGTATCTAAAGCATTATTAAGAATTTAAAATTTTAAATATGGCGTCACGTGCAGAAGCGAACGTCAGGGGAAGGTGGAAATAAAAAGATTGTCCTTTTTTCTTCTGCTAAAATAACCCTAATTTGAAATATATCATGCCAAGGGAACAAGTAAAAGTCTTAAGAGTTCTAAGGAGCAAAAATAAAGTATCTACTTTGATTTTGTAGCAGTTTATTTCACGAAGAAGTCGATTTTGCTTTACTAAAATATGGAGACAGTATACCATGGAAAATATGTGTTCTGAAGCACGAAACTACTGCTGAAAATTGTTTTAAAATGAGTGGTGTTTTATGAGGATTGAAGACAAAGTTTGGAATGCTTTCTACATCTACAGTTTATATGAATTATATGGCAAAGGTCAAATGAGTTATAAAAATGTAAACACTATATTATAAAAACAATGGATAGTGTCAGTATGTTGAATAATTTTCACAGATAACCGAAAATTCACAGTGGTTATGTCTTGTTTTAGAAGTCAAAAAGTAATTAGCATATAACAAGCATTCAAATCACAATTAGTGACTGTTAGGGACCATTCATTTTTTTATGACGGTGGATGGCTGGAACAAATAGTGTGCGGTGCATACAAAAAAGTTGAAAAATAGGAGGGGTGTCGTAAAAAAATTGCAGCTTTTTGAAGTATAGAAGACTGTAAAAATGCAATTTCTGACAATCTGGAGGTTTAACTAACATCAGCCTCTTCTCAAAAGCAGCTTTATTTTTTTTATTATAAAAGAACTATATAAAGCTTTTAGCCAACAATCTCCCATCTTTTTATTAACTCATTGAGCCGCAATGCGCTCTACTTATTTGTTTTACTTGTCTAACGCCAGACGATTTACTTGTCAATGGGGAAGCTCGGCGGCTTAGTGGGGTTGAAAAACAAGTTTCTCTAAGGTGGTGGGGCATAATCATCTGAAAAAATCGCCCTTCGAGGGTCGGCCACCGGAAAATATGGGTATAATGTTGAAAGTATGCACTCGTAAACTTTATATAAGATAAACATTACGGACTTCCAGTTTGTTTTAATTAGTTAAGTAGTCATGTGTTAAAATGGAGACCATGTTGGTTGTCGTGTTTATGAAAAACAATCGAACAGTGAACTCTTGTTGATATTGCTTTATTAGCATTTAATTTTTACATTATTTAAAATTAAATCATTTTAAAAGGTTATGGGCCCAGGGACGTATGCGTAGGAGGTAAGCAACGAAGCAAAATAAAGAGGTAAAACAAACTTTTTCGTGATCGAAAGTTGGAAATATATTTGGTGTTGTAATGGCGTCAGGTTTGGACGACCAGTATAATTCCGTTGAATGGCAAACATTTCCCCACTTGGAAAGTTCAGTGTCGAATGGCACTTATGAGAGATGGTGTATGGGTGTTCATTTGTTAGCAATTTCACCTGAGTCATATGATATACTGGTTAAGGCGTTGGAGGCAAATGTTGAAGTCCCTAAAATGGAAACTGTGACCGAACGTTTGTTGCAAGAAGAACGTAAAATGAAGGAGAGAAGTGGATCTGAGACTAATGATGAAATGAAAGCTATGTTTGCAAACAGACAGTCTAAAGGCAAGGGTCCCAAATGTTACCATTGTGGAACGTTTGGATACATTAAACGAAACTGTCGAGAACTGAACACCTTAAAACATGATGGGGACAAAAGTGAGTTTAATGTGGGTATTGATAACAAACATAAAGCTAACACTGCAGCCAAATCCAGACGGACAGGCAGCAGCTCAGATAGTGATGAAGTGGGATTGATGGTTAATCATGCATTTAGTTCTGTAAATGGGAGAACAAATACACGGATAGTTGTTTCTGGAGCAACTTGTCATATGTGCAATGATGTGAGTCAGTTTCTGAAATTGCATAACTTGGAAAAGCCTGAAGATGTTACTCTTGGAGACGGTCATGTTGTCATAACAACTGGACGAGGAGTCGTTAAAACAGAAATAGAGTCTCCAAATGGCCAAAAGAGAAAGAGTTGTGTACTGCAAGATGCTTTTAAGTTCCAAGCTTATCGTATAACCTAGTGAGCGTGTCTAAAGCTACAGAGTCTGGAAAGACTGTGAAGTTTAATGAAGATGGATGTCACATTCCTGACGAAAGTCAAAAGCTGATTGCCACTGCTAAAAGAGTAGCTAGAAAACCTGTATTACCTGAATTGCATGAACAGTCATCAAGTAAATCCTACTGTAGGATATTCAAGAGTGGGAAGCAAAGAGGTCACCTGACACAAGCGATTTGGACATCTCGGAGTTCAAAACCTCCAAAAGTTGGCAAAAGAAAACCTGGTTGATGGCTATGACTATCACAAATCAAAGGACATTGACTTCTGTGAATCTTGTGCAGAGGGAAATTATCAACGAAGTAAATTTCCAGTCAACGAAAGTGAACGTGCTATAACGGCCCTTGATTTGGTACACAGTGATATAATTATGTGGTAAAATTAGTGCAACATCGCTTAGTGGAACTGAGTACTTTCTGACATTGATCGATGATAACACTTACTTGAAACACAAAGACGAAGTCTTTACAAAATTCCTGGAGTGGAAAGCCTTAATCAAGAAATCCTCTGTCAGAAAGGTTAAAGTCTTCCGCATGGAAAACGGGAGTACACCTCGACAGAGTTTGAGAATTATCTGAAGAAAGAAGGGATAACACACCAATTAACTGTACCCAGGACACCGGAACAAAATGGAGTCGCTGAAAGGATGAACCGGACCCTGGTGGAATCAGTGAGATCCATGTTAGCAGATGTTAAACTCCGGCACAAGTACTGGGCAAAAACACTTTCAACTGCTGTTTATCTTAGAAACAGAAGTCCCTCAGTTGCAGTCAAAGGAAAGACTCCTTTTGAAGCCTGGGCAGGTCAGAAACCTAATGTGAAGCATCTACGAGTGTTTGGATGCGAAGCGTATGCTCATGTGCCAAAGGACGAAAGAAAGAAACTTGACTCAAAACCCAGAAAATGTATTTTTCTTGGTTATGGCGCTGAAACGAAAGGCTATCGTCTTTATGATTCAAATCGTGCAAGAGTCTTTCACAGTCGTGATGTCCAGTTTAATGAATCTTCACAAGAACCTGAAGTTGTCCAGCCGCGGCAGACAATGTCTTTCTGCCTGCGCTGGGTATGGAAATTATGGAATACACACTCGAGAACATTTTCTGCTTAACATATATATATATATATATATATATATATATATATATATATATATATATATATATATATATATATATATATATATATATATATATATATATATTATGGAATACACACTCGAGAACATTTTCTGCTTAACAAACATATATATATATATATATATATATATATATATATATATATATATATATATATATATATATATATATATATATATATATATATATATATAAATATAAATACATACATATATAATTTTATAATTAAAAGTGATATTTTTAAGGGATTTTTCATTTGTAAAAATATTCTTAACAAAAATAATCGTATTACCATGACAACTGCTTTAAATACGTCATGTTCGGAAAATACAATGGGTTTGTCAGCAAGGCGAGGGGTTTCCGCATGCATGTATTTTCTAATTTTACATTATAAGAGCATGTTCATATATGAACCCGGCAAACCGGGCTGACTCGCAAGTGGCGAAATCTCGTCTCGTATACTGTTTTTAGATGTTTTTGAGATTTGATGCACATGAGAACTGGGCTGGCCAGGTTTTTCGGGCTCCCGTTTGAGCGAAGCGCGATCTCGCATTCCCGGGCTCATATGAACACACTCATCGGGCCAGCCCAGCAAGCCGAGCTGGAAATTGTGTCACAACGCATGCTTCCTTTATTCTATCTAGAAGGCATCTAAAAGTCCAAAACAAATAAGAAATCAACAATATTAAAACTTCTGAAACAGTGTCCGTCAATAGAAACAGCATTTTTCAAAATTAAAACAAATATCGCGTTCCCGCCAAAAATCGCGCGGAAATTTCTGTAGCGCTTGCCGGGCTATCCCGCCTCATGTGAAACAAATAGCAATTTGGCTCGACAAAACGAGCTAGACCCGTTTAACGGGCCAGCCGCGCGGCTCACGTGAACAGGCCCTAACTATGCAAACAATCTATATTTATCTAAAATTTCATGACAAGAACGGATTTGTGAAATTAAGAGCCGTTTCAAAATTGTCTACCTTTTTCTGGTACACCCTGTAGATCTGTTTTTTCCTTTTCGAATTCGAATATCAATTTACCTCTTTTTACCAGTTTTATCATTTATTATTATTATTTTCTAAAATTTCACATTAAGTAGTTAAACACTATATTATAGATGCGAATTACAATTAAAAATGAGAATATATATCCTATACACTACTATGGTGGCCGATCGCTATCATAGATATTTTTCATAAAAAACAATTTACGATTTTTTATTTCATTCTAAATGAAATCTAGTTTCAAAATAAAACAAAAATAAAAGTGTTTTATTTAAAAAATAAATAAGTAAAAGTAAAAATGAAAAGTTTTTGAATGCATTTTAAAATTAAAATGAATGAAATTAAAATGAAATTTTATCGGCCTACCGCTATCACAGTATACCATAATGCATTGCGCTGCGTTATAAATACGTGTGCGTTTTCTCAAAATTTGCATGTGCTCCGTGACAACTTGCAGTGAAAAATGGTGGATTGAGCCGCTTGGAAAAATTTCAAAAAGCAGATGACCGCGAAAACAGGGACTAAAAAAAATAGCTCTGGTGTACAGATCCTTGAGAGAGAGTCTATCACGGTACAACGTTTAAGCGCGGTTGTGTCGGGGAAAGCCCAAAAATACGCAAGGGTTGGCGCAAGAGAGTCCGTGCCATATGAATACGACGAAGTGACGGTTGAAAATATCAAACGAGCTTGCTTAGGCTATTTCGACGTTGGCGAAGGTAGCGTTTGTGATGTGTTAGCCGGCGAGCATGGCCATCCTGTTCAACAGTGAAACAAATACCAAACCTTAGCCTTGTTCACGTGCGCTTCGTCGAACGCGAAGAGAGAGTGGCAAAGGTCGAAGCAAACCCGCCGAGAAAGAAGCGTAAGACAGACGTGATAAATATTTCGCCTATCAAGTTGAGTCCCAACGCGGGGGCAGCCAGAAGAATAAGTAAATTTATACCGCGAAGTATGTCCACCGTGGAGATGCTAAAGCTTGGCAGGGAGATTGAGTCAACTCCAACTACAGAGATATTGGTGTATGACTTCGACCTTGGAAGTATGACTTGGTACTCGAGTCCCGTGAAAGTTAATTTCGTTGTAGACAAGGATCCGCTTGGCACCGGGGGCCTTCGACAAGCCTTCAAAGCGACTAGCAAGATCAAAGGTTTTGACCACACGACATGGGTCGTGAAGAAATACGTTCCCAAAACGGTCTTGGATATTGAAGTTTTGAGGCAAACTGTCGAGCAACATACAAAAAAGACTGTTCAAATGCACAATCTTGCCCGAAATTTTACAGCAAAGTTGCAACAGGAAGTTGTGAAAGTTATCGCCGGAACGTTCGACAAGCATATAAACATCACGGGTGATCTTTGCGGGGATGCGGATTTGGATGTTTCTCAAAAAGGGCAGTGCTTTGTCCATTACACCTTTGAAAGATCCGACAAACAATTGATGGTGACAGACATTCTAGGTTGCGGTTATACTCTTTTTGATCCGGAGGTGGCAAGTAAAGAGAATTCCACAGATGGCGAATCATTGTTTTGCACTGGAAATTTATCCACCAATGGTATTGATGTTTTTACAAGTGCTCATACTGTATATGCAACAAGTTTTGCAAACTATTAAAGTTGCCAAATCTCTAACACTAAAGCATTTTTGTATATTTCTGACTATATATATTTCAGCACATTTTACTAATTTGTAGGAAACTTTTAATTGCTGTTTGTTGTGTTTAAGTTCAGTTTAAGCACCTATCACACTTATGATGAGCATACAAAGACAGATGAGTGTATGTATATGTTTGACAATAGTTTTCATATTTTATTTGCACCTAAAATTCTCACTTCACTGTTGCACACGGTAAAAATACTAAATTGTTAAATTACAGAGACCTTGATCTTCTGTATATGTATTCTATAGTTGTAGTGTAGTTGTTGATGTTACATGGGACAACATTTAATGGCAACACACAATACAAATGTGATTATACAAAATTTGCATTGTGAATTGTCACTAAAAGTTGTCCTGTGTATAACATATTGTGAATCACAAGGTAATTTGGTCATTATTATTAAAAATGAGTGTATCCAGACAGACAGATGATTTGCGACAAATATTTATTATTATTAATATATGGACCAATATTGCATTCTTCATGTATTCAGTGTTGCAGTCATAGTGAAAAATGTTCAAGAACATATAGATATGCATCAGTCCAATCATCTGAATTAACATCCGCAACATTTGGAACCCAGCGCTCACACTCATCCCTAATTGGTCTTTCCAAGAAGTCATCACCACAATCTAATACGCTGGAATAGTTTGCCATCTTTTCTAACTCATCTTCTGAAACAGGCCAACCTACAATAAGCGAATTGAACATGAGGTTTTATACCTACTATACCAGTAAAAAAAGTAATAAATTTACGTGGTGTTTCCTATTATATACCAGTAAACTTCTTTTCTCACTCACTGACTCACATATCATATTCTAACCAGGAGCAGTTGTAAAAATGAAACTATAGACCCTCTAGTGATCCCCCTGTTATTCAGGTGCAGTGGTTGTTAACCACATGTTCATCAGTACTGTATTTTGATATTGCCAGAGAGTTGTACTGAGGGTAACATTTTAGATTTTTATAGCAAACCCTTGCATTGAAATTGCAGAACAGCAGGTTTGATTGCTGCTAGTGGCATATGGTTGTGTTCTTCAAAACTGCTTTTGGTTAGGCATGCCTGACTGCCTGTAATTATTTACCACAATCCTCTAAGTCATACTCCTCCGGGAAGGAATAGATGTGATTAGGGACACCACTTCGTAATCCCGTATCTTTCTGATGACGGATCCTGTGTGTGTTCCAAATAGTGTCCTTGAAAGTTCCCAACTGTTTTGAAGCAATGGGATCAAAGTAAACGCTAGTAGCATCCTTAAAATATATATAAAAAAGAGAACATAAATTACTAGTGCAACTCTTGTATTTCTAGCCTTGACTGTTGTAAAGTCCTCGATATATTATTATTTAAGAACTAAAACTACATGTTCAACCATGCATTATATACTAATTACAATAACACCTAATTATCATATGTAGTAAACAATTAACTTACAAATGATCACACATCTCCTTTTCGAAGATAAATATTTTTATGTCTCTTAAATGTCATTAAATTACTTAATTCTAAATGCGTTCTTTTTTTGTTTTTTTTTTCTAATTTAAATCTAAGTGTTCTATAATTCTTATAATTGTTCCTAAATCGCTAAATTATAATTATTTCAGTTCGTCAATCATATAAGTTCACAAATTGAGTCTATTAGGCGGTACAACAACACGTCCTGAACGAGTTCTCACGACATTGTCGGACCTACTATTGGGACATGAAATGTTCTCACTCGTACTGTCGTTCGTAGGTTGTGATTCTCTCATAACTGGTTCCTTTGGACTGGGTACTACTTGTCGTCTATTTCTTCTCACCGTGCCATGTTCCGTTTGCACAATATATGATCTTGGTTCGGGTGACTTGGAAACAACAACTGCTGGAGAACTCATTTCTGGCAACCAAACTGTTTCTCCAGGACTCAGGTCAGACAAACATGTCGCTCTATGTCGCTTGTTGTAACCTTGTGTTTGTTGACGTTTGTATGTCTGTTCGTTCTTTCTTAATTTTTCCGCGTCTAATAACATAGGTTTCAGCTTTTCTGGAGATACAGGCAAAGTAGAACGTAATTTGCGTCCCATCAGTAACTCTGCTGGAGGTGTCCGTTCTGTAGTGGTGTTGTTCTGTAGGACAGTAGAGCCAAATATGGATCTTCAGATTTGGCAAACAGACTCTTTGCGGTCTTTACTGCCCTCTCTGCCTCTCCATTACTTTGAGGGTAATAGGGATTGCTTGTTAAATGGGTAAAACCCCATTCGTCCGCAAATTTGGAAAAGGTAGCTGCAGAAAATTGCGGCCCATTATCCGACATAACAATTTCTGGGATACCATGACGACAGGAAAACGATTTCAAGTGGTTCACGACGTTCTCTGAAGTGGTATTCTTGAGTGGAGCGACTTCGAAGAATCGGGAGTAATAATCGAGAGCGATGACATAGTATTTTCCATTATGATGGAAAAGATCTGTGGCAATCTTTTGCCAGTGTCGTTCTGGGAGTGGAGACGCTATCATAGGCTCTGCGTGGTTTTGTCGATGCTTACAACAAGTTGGGCACGTCGTAACCATATCTTCAATCTGCTTACTCAGCCCTGGCCACCACACAGACTCGCGTGCTCTTTCTCGACACTTTCGAATTCCTTGATGACCCGCATGGATTTTATCCAGAGTATCCAGTCGTAATGAAGACGGGATGACTAATCTTGTATCTTTCATCAGAATAACTCTTTGCGCTGTGATATTACCTCTCTCTGGCCAATAAGCAAGAAGAGTTGAGTTCAGCTTGGTCCTACCTGGCCAGCCTACAGTGAAAAATTCTGAAAGTTTTCTGCACACTTCATCATCTTGTTGAAGAAGTCGAATTTCTTCAAGTTTCCGTTCGCTAGCTGGTAGGCTTTCGAAAATGTTCGCCACATACAAGCTCAAATCTTCTGTCAACCGCTTATCGACTTTGGTAGGTGGTTTTCTAATTGGCGCTCTTGAAAGAGTATCAGCAGTTACTAACTCCTTTCCTGGTATATGATTAACGTAGAATGAATATTTCATTAGTCTCCTTTTAAATCTCTGAATTCTAGGAGGGAGTTGATCAAGAAGCTTTGTGCCAAATAAAGGAACAAGTGGTTTGTGGTCTGTCTCAATGAGGATATCTTTCTCAAGAATATAATCGTTGAATTTCTCGCACGCCCAAGTTGTTGCCAAAACTTCTTTTTCAATCTGAGCGTAGCGCTGCTCGGTGCTAGTCATAGATCTGGATGCGTATGCAATTGGCTGTCTTTCACCGTTCTCTTGTCTAGGACAGCCCCAAGACCATAAGAAGAGGCATCTTCTGACAAAATGGTTTTCTTGGAAGGATCATAATACGCAAGTACTGGTGTAGAACTTAATTCGACTTTCAACTTATCGAAGGCTTCTTGTTGAGCTGGTCCCCATAGAAACTGATTGTTTTTACTAAGGAGGTCTCTAATTGGCTACGGTTTCTCTGCTAAGTGGTTAATAAACTTCCCAAGTTGGTTGACCATTCCAAGGAATCTACGTACATCGCCCACATTCTGAGGTGCATCCATGTCTCAAATCGACTCTATTTTATCGGGATCGGACTTGATTCCTTCTTCGTTAAGGATACAACCAGCAAACTTGACTTCTTTCTTTGAAAACTCGCATTTCTCTGGATTAAGTGTAGCTCCAGATTCATCTAGTTTCTTCAGCACTGCTCTAAGTCTAGTGTCATGTTCTTTCTGGGTCTTCCCGTGGATCAATATGTCATCAATTATGCATACTTGACCATCCAGGCCTTCCAAAATTTCGTTCATCTTCTTCTGATAATGCTCAGGTGCCGTCTTGATACCAAAAGGCATTCGATTGAAGCAGAACCTGCCAAACGGTGTGATAAACGTGGTTAATAACCGAGATTGTTCGTCTAGCTTCTCCTACCAAAATCCTGAATTGCAATCCAATTTAGTGAAGATTTTGGATTCGCTGATCTGTGCTAATAGGTTATCTATCTTTGGAAGAGGGTAAGTCTCGCGAAGAACATTCTCGTTGAGTTTCGTTAGGTCGACACATATTCGAATATTACCATCTGGTTTGGGTACAACGAACATCCCTGCACACCACTCGGTGGGTACATCGACTTTCGAGATAGCGCCCAAATTTTTCATTCTCTCCAATTCTGCCTTGACTTTGTTCAAGAGCGGGATTGCCACTCTTCTTGGCGTCGTCAGAGCGAAGGGTGTTGAGTCAGGTATCAATTTAATACTGAAATCACCATCCAACTCTCCCAGGCCTTTGAACAAATTTGGATAAGTGGATTTAACTTCGTCTTCGATCACACTGCTCTCGTCAGCTTGAATAGTTTCTACTTTCTGCACCAGGTTTAGGGCATGAATAGCAGGTCTTCGAAGCAAAGGCTCTTTAAGATTTCCAATAACATAAATATCTTGCAGTGTTTCTTTCAAACTTGAAGTTTTCAAAACGCCTTTGACGACTCCTTTAACGGGTAGTTTCTCTTGACCAGGTCCAAACAAAGTTTTGGATGTTAACCTAAGTTGTGGAAGTCCACTTCGCAAATAATCAGCTTCAGGTATTACCGTTACGTCGGCCCCAGTGTCGATCTTGAATCGTACTTTTGTTCTTCCTAGCGATAAGTTTACCGACCAATCTTCTTTACTTTCATGGTCGCTAATCTCACCAAGGAAGTAATCTTCGGAATATGAGCACTTCGGGTCGGTTTCTTCGGTAACTGAGCGAATTTCTTGCTTCTACAAACCGCAGCAAAGTGTCCTTGCTTTTTGCATTTTAAACATGTCGCATTAATAGCAGGGCAAGCATCTCTTTTGTGCACTGGCGATTTTCCACATCGATAACATTGACTTTTACCGGCTTGATACGGTTTCAAAATTTGCTCTCCTTTCGAGTTCTCTGGCGATTTTGGTTTATTTCGTCCCTTAGTCTTGCGGAGGCGATTAATTTTCCCATCTTCGCCATCTCCCTGAAGGATATTGTGGTGATGCTTGACCAACTCTGAACTTTTGGCTTCTTTTACAGCTTTATCCAAAGTCAATTTCTCGTCTTGCATCAGCTTTTGCGATAGACTTGCATTTCGAATATCAACCACAATACGATCTCGTATAAGTTCATTCTTTAGATCTCCAAACTGGCATGTCTCTGCTAATTCGTATAGCGCTAATTAGCTTCGATAAAATCGATCA